GATGCACTACGACAAATGCAACAATAATTTTGTGCAGTTCCAAGAATCTCAATTTGACCCTTGAAAGGTAGACAAGGGCTGAATGAACATCTGTAAGTAAAGGTATTCAATTTTCGCTCTCTGTTTTTAGATACTGCATGGTTGTTTACAGATCTAGGAGACCACAAAAACAAGAAGGAAAGATCTATCGAAAATCAGCATACTAGAGAGCATTTGAATGTAAAATTTGTGTTGTGACCTGCTCCGAAGGTTGAGACCAAAAAGAGACTTCACAGCATCAGGATCTTCGCTAGGCGATGGTGCTTTTAGGGACTGGGAAAGAGTGTACAACATTTGTGTCCAACATTCTTCAGCATCCTGTTACACATTTAAAAGGTTCCTGGATTCACAAACTGAAAGGTTAAAATCACAATGCAACCGAGTTGGAATTAAGCAGCAAACCTGTTGCATGTGATTTCCGTTATGCAATTGAGCAAACTGAGGATATTTTTTTTGTAACATCTGCATCAAAGAACAAAATTGGTATGAGAAAAAAACTCCAAACTTCCAACTCCTATGAGGAGAACTTCGGGAACAAATGATGAGCACTTTAGAAACTGATGATGGGAAAGTAAAAAAGCGTTTGATATGAGCCTTCCATACAACCCAACATGACATGCATATTGACCATAGCTGGGGTTGTAACCCAATGTTGTTACTCAAAGTTATTCGCAAGTTTCCGTTGAAACCAACAACTAGACTTTGTAGTGGCAACCAAGTGTCAAGCTAATTTTCATGCAAAAAATTCCTCATTTTAATTGTAAGGAACTAACAAGAATATGTAAAAGAAGAATATATATTATTAAGCAATACATGAACATAGACTCACCATCCAGAACGACATAGGCGCAACAGCCTTGACACTTTTATCAAGCTCGCTAAATAACTCACGTGTTGCAACTGTGAGCATGTGGGAAGTCTGATCCACATCCTTGGTTCGAGCAGATTGGTAACTAATGAGAAAAGATCAAGAATTAGATTTTGGTTACATGCGATATCAGCAATGCATGACACAAGTGAGATATATGAGTTTTTTTTGTAAGAACAGAAAAGAAAAAGAGATAAGACTCACTTGGATAACTCAGATTTCAGCTCTGGGACAGATTTTAAACACTGCATTGTTGAGTTCATGTAGCAGGTGTTGCCAAGATTAACTAGGCCAGCACTGTAACCCTGCAACCAATTTGTAAAGTGTTAGTCCATAGGCCAGCACTGTAACCAAGAACTCACATATCTCACTAATGTTATGCATTGCCAGTTTTCACAATATCTAGCAATAAGGTAATAAAGTATGCTTTTCTTTTTCTCCTTGAACTGTCATGAAGGTGAATTGATTGGGGTCCAAGCACCGTACAACTTATCAACAACTACCAAACCACAGGAAACATACAAACACTCCTAAATTCAGATGAAAAAGTAACCAGATTAGCGGCTTGCTCTTCTTCAGGAAGATCTTCCATGAAAACAGGACCCTTCTCTGGAGCCTTGACTATTTCATCTGCAGTTCCCATCATCATCAATTTTTGACCCTAGAGTGACGAAACAACAAATAGTCAATTCAAGGAAACAGTATAAAACCATAATCAATTCAGGGAAACAATGCCAATGAATGCAAGAGAGTTTTTTTTTACATTTTTCAGTCCAACCGTGGACCAATCTGCATCATCCTGCGACAATCGAAAGAAATACGTTGTAAAATCATCATCAACAAACAAATTGAGGAACACATTAGTAAAATTTAAGAGACATCCTCCAGAAGACGGTGAAATCCAATTACCTTGAGAAGTCCACCTTTAACCATGATCTTTTGCCGTTCTGGTGGCACTCCACTCAAATCATACAACTGTGCCTTGAATACAAACGGCGGCTGGTTAGTATCAATCTCGATACTTTCAAACACCTTCTTTTGCCACTTCACGCTTACTGTAGACACACACACAATTCACAGAAAAGTCACACACCAGTCAACTCCAGAACACTATATCAATGAATATAATGTTCATAAAGATACAGTCACAACTCGAAATACACCAAGAACAACAGTTCATCATTAACTATTGTAACAGGATGAACATGAAAATCCAGCCACAATCCAACCAAAATACAGTGAAACATCCTCTAAACTACATAAATCTCCACTATTACTCTCAAAATTCTTCGTAAAATGAGAAACCTACGTAACCCCATTTCCTCACGGAGAAGAAGACAACGATCGGGTTACGAAGGAAACCGATTTCAGATGCTGAAACCGGCGAATCAGCAGTGCCGATCACATAAAACATCGATTAAGCTTAAAGAAGGAAGAAAAATCGAAGAAGTTTTCACCTGTTAACATGTTTGATTCCGCAGAGAAGGAGATTGATTTCTTTTTCTTGAAGAAAAGGCTAACTAAAATAAATCTCTCTACTTGGATCGTCTCTAATATGTCAAGCCTTTACGGTCGGGTCTAAATCCGGATCGGGTCGGGTTACACCGCTCAGACCTAAAATCCAATACGCCGCCGTTTTATAAACTT